GAAGAAGAAGAAGAAGAAGAAGAAGAAGAAGAAGAAGAAGAAGAAGAGACCAAACAAATTGTGTGGCAAACAAGGAAAAAGGAAAAAAAAGAAAAGAATTTAAGACTAACTTTGCTCTCCGGGAAAATTTACAGGGGGTGGGTTGTTTGGCTTGGCCTTTGTGTCAGGATGCTGCCTTGTGAACTTAATAATAGCTGCCCTTCTTTTTAATCCATTTGACCTTGACTGGAATAATTTATTGTGTGCTTTAAAGGAAACACACACACATACGCAGAGTTCCTTCTGCACAACACTTTCTTTTAAAACAAAGAATTGAATGGGCAGGATTTTGGTTGCCATGCCAAGGCTCTCAACATCGTATCCAAAAAAATGGAGAATTATTTTGAGCCTAAATATGATCTAAGAGAAAACTCCAAGTAGTTTTCTTCCTTGGGAGGGGGAAAAAAATCATGATTTTAACACCCTGGTTAGGCTTGAAAAGAAACTTGCAAAAATAGGTCCGGGGTGACCGTGTAAATTCAATGTATGCCCCCTTCTTTCCCCATCAAAAACCTGCAGAAAGGGAAATATAATTGTGATCAGATCTGATCTGATTTGAGAAAAACCTTCTCAACCTTGTGATTTGAATAAGGCAGAGTCTGTTTTCATTATTATTTTTAATTTTTCAGTGACTTTTAATTTTTATTAGAGGGGAGGAAAAAATCCTTAATCCCCAAAGAGTTTTTCATTAAAAATCCTCGGTCGAGGTAAAATATATACAACCGACAACGTCATCAGATAAATTTACATTAAAAAAAAAAAACCACCTCCATGAATTGTATATTAAAATTTTAGCTTTGGTTAGGGAAGCCTACAGCAGGAAAAAAATAGTGAATAAAAATTGGAGATTGCTCTTTAATATAATATAATATATAAGCATTTTTTTCCAGCGTCCAAAGAGGTAAGTTTTAAGATGTAGGAATATACAGATAATCCTCAATTTACAGCCTAAAATTTCCATCGCTAAGCGAGACAGTTGGGAAGGGCCCCGTTTTATGAAGTCCATGTGGCTTTTAAAAAATCACTAAGATTTCCAAGATCTCTACTTGAGAATCGCACCCGTCTGTCAATGGGTTTGATTCCAATAGATTTCTCCACAAATACTTTTATTAAATATATATATTTTATTAAATATGTTTTTTAATTAAATCGAGGGGCTGGGTGACCTCCGACCCTCCGGCATTGTGGCCGGTAACCGCGGGATGTCAACTCATAAAACATTCCTATGCCTAATGAGAAAAATATTACACAATATAATATAAATGTAACATAACAGTTAAGATAAAATAATGTAATGATATGCTATAAATGATTATTATGGAAAGGATTATAATATGATATTCTGTGTTTGATTATTTGGAAATGAATGATATCATAAACTAGGCTTTATAATAGTTGATTCTTCCTCAAAAAAGATGAGATGAATTTATAATTGCTGTTGGATAATGATTTGATAACAATATGATGGTAAGTGGATAGTAGTTATACATAATATGAATTGTAATATAAAAACAGGATGGAATGACTGTTGATATTGTGCACAAGAGACATGTACCAACCGACATGCTGTATAATGGAAAGAAGATTTTATTTAATGTTGTATGTTTTGCATTTGTTTACATTTGTTGTTTAAAATAAAAAAAATCAAAACAAAACATGTTCCTATGCCTGTTGTAGTAGTTGCCATAAAAAAGTGGGGGGAAGGAAATCTGGAAGAGCAGTGAAGCAGTTTGGAAGCGGAAGTGCATTCCAACTCTTTATCTTTAAAAGAGTGTAACTAAAATACCGGCGCTTTTGCCCGCGAATGTATTTAATTGGAGAACGTGATTGATGACACGCAGCCAGTGAAGGTGCTTCATTGGAGAATCTGATTTATGACACACCCAGGGGGGAGGGGGGAAACAGGGTCACTGTGAATGATGTAGGCCAGAGTTGGCTTTGTTTTGGTTAATGCCAGCATGTTGCTCCTAATTTTGAAGTGCTTTGAAGTTTGTCTCAAGGATCATGATTTAATTAGGGCGATTGCTGGAATCCTGACACGGGGTCTCTGCTTTTGTCCGCAGACATTCACACATTCCGTTGCGAGGACTGCGACGAGCTCTTCCAGTCCAAAATGGAGATGAGGCGGCATAAGAAGTACTCCTGTCACGCTGTCGGCTCTCTGTACGAGTCCCTGACCGAGGAGATCAAGCAGGAAGGGATGGAGGACGACCAAGGCCACGAATGCAAAGACTGTGAAAGGATGTTTCCAAACAAGTACAGGTGACGGAGGCACCCCTAAAGATCGGTGTTTTAGAGGGGGTGGACCGCAACTCCCAGAATTCCCCAGTCGGTAGGGTTGAAAAATACTGGCCTAAAATCTTTCATTCAGGTGATGGTGACACCTGCAAAGACCAGTGTTTTGCAACCTTGATAACTTTTAGAAGGGTGGAAATTCGACATGGGATAGGGTCTCTCCTGCTGGAGCGAGGGGGTTGGACTAGAAGACCTCTGAGCCCCCTTCCAAACTCTGTTATTTTCCACCCTTCTTCTCCCACAGCTTGGAACAGCACATGATCATCCACACGGAAGAAAGGGAATACAAGTGCGACCAGTGTCCCAAGGCCTTCAACTGGAAATCCAACTTGATCCGTCATCAGATGTCACACGACAGTGGCAAGAGATTTGAGTGCGAAAATTGTGTGAAGGTATGGCCCTCGGGGTGGGCGGGCCCTTGTGAAGACTCTTGGTAGGTTGGGCCAAAGGCCAATGGTCCTCTCTTCTTCTTCTTCTTCTTCTTCTTCTTCTTCTTCTTCTTCTTCTTCTTCTTCTTCTTCTTCTT